CATTGTGCATGAGCCTTAGTGTAGGAGTGATTGGGCAGGGAAAGCGCCTGCTACGGAGTCACCAACATCACCTTCCTGCAGCCATCTGGATTTTTACTGATTACATCACTGCCTGACTTTGCTTTTGCTTACGATCTGTAACAATCACAACCTCAGCATGGCCTGACTGGGGATCTTGCAGAAAATACTGTAACTGAGGCTTTTGGTCTTGATCAAAAGTGTAGGAGTGATTGGGCAGGGAAAGCGCCTGCTACGGAGTCACCAACATCACCTTCCTGCAGCCATCTGGATTTTTACTGATTACATCACTGCCTGACTTTGCTTTTGCTTACGATCTGTAACAATCACAACCTCAGCATGGCCTGACTGGGGATCTTGCAGAAAATACTGTAACTGAGGCTTTTGGTCTTGATCAAAAGAGTGATTTTTCTGTTGGGAGTTGGTAGAAGAGCTGACCCCAGGGACACTGGTGGGGGGCATATGCCCCGGGGCCCAGAGAGTTAAAAGGGCCTAGGGCTCTCAGATGCTGTTACCTTGGCAGTGCTAGTGGCCAGAGCCCTGGCCCCTTTAAATCACCGCCAGAGCCCCAGGCAGTGTGAGCCTGGTAGCACTGAAGGGCCAGCTGAGGGAGGCTAGCCCCACCGCCTTCCACTCAAGGCTCCACCCCTTTGGGGAACTGGAGCCTCCTCCCAATCCCACCCTCCCACAGAGGTGGACAAAGTCTGTCCTCTGCCCTGGCTGACCCTGAGCAGACCAGCTCATCTTGCAACCTGTCCTGTCTGTGGATCAAAGCCTCCCTCCCCCCCCCCAATTTTCACTTCAACGGCATTAAAGGGTTACTTGCATACATTTTTTGGAAACCCAAACTTCTGCCCAAGCAAACCACACCTGCCATCTGCGTCCTGTTCCACTGCCTCTCCCCTCTCCTATCGCAGCCTGTGTGGCACAGGCGCCCCACGGGGTGAGGAGTGGTGTGACATGCACTGATGGCGGTGGCAGCAGTGGCAAATGCAGGGGGGGCTGTTTGTGCAGGGTTTGCTCCCGTCCCCAGTGACTGACCTGGGGGATGGTGATGGGCACTTCTGTGAGGTTCTTGTTCAGACACATGACGTGGCGCTTGATGTTATCGCAGATGCAGATCCGTGGGCAGCGCTCTGCAGCCGCTCTCCTGGCGGGGAAGAGAGCTGACACCAGAAGGAGGCTCAGAGAACCCCACATCTTGGGAACCAGCTACAGGTGAGAGAGAGGGAAGAGGAGCCACAGTCAGACACAGATGTGTGTTTTCACAGCGCTTCTCCCCACGGCCCCTGAGTGCTTGGCAGGCCGCGTCCCTGGGGATTAGGGTGAGCATTAAGTGCTTCCAGACTATTTGTTGTTTTTTAAGTTTATCCTGTACAGACTAAGGGTATGTCTACACTACCCCCCTAGTTCGAACTAGGGGGGGTAATGTAGTCATACGGAGTTGCAAATGAAGCCCGGGATTTGAATTTCCCGGGCTTCATTTGCATGAAGCCGGCCGGCTAGTTCAGACCCCGTGCCGCGCGGCTACACGCAGCACGAACTAGCTAGTTCAGATTAGGCTTCCTTTTTAAATGCCGGCTAGTTCGGACTGTGTGCTGCGCGGCTACACGCGGCACGGACTAGCTAGTTCGGATTAGGCTTCCTAATGCGAACTAGCTGTACACCTTGTTTAAAAATGGCGCCGGCCGGCTTCATGCAAATGAAGGGGAAATTCAAATCCCGGGCTTCATTTGCAACTCCGTATGACTACATTACCCCCCCTAGTTCGAACTAGCGGGGTAGTGTAGACATACCCTAACTCGGCCACCCCTCTGAAGCATTTAGATGGGGCTTGGCAGCTGTTCCATGGTGCATTGCAATGCTACAGTCCAGTGTGAGAGACTGGAAAAGGGACAGTGTGACCAAGAGACAGTGCAGCAGGAAGTTTGGGTTACTTAGGTCGGGGCCTACTTTGAAGCATGGAATGACCCACTCTGGTTCTGCTCTCAGTACCTGCTTACACATTTTACCAAATCAGGTAGAGAAACCGCTGCTCAATCACCAGTCCCTCCTCCTGCCACACTTGGGCTGGCCTGGGAGGTTCCATTTCCCAAGAACTGAGCAGGTGCAACCTCTGTCAGCTTGTGAGAACCTCCAAGGCAGTGCAGCTAACGGACCACACTGGTGCCGCCTGAAAAGGCGCAGGTAGACTTGGCCTTAATGCAGCCGCAGGAGCCATGTGACAACATGCATTCCTGGCGCCATATATCCCAAGGGAAGAAGGGTGGGACACTGCGGTAACTCATCTGAATGAATCCCGCCAGTAATAGCACTGCTCCGGAGCATCCTTGCTCGTAAGGGCCTGCAGTTGTGTCTCAGCTTCCACCTGACAGCTGAATGCTTTGCAAACGCTAACCAGCTTAACCTCACACTACCCCGGCAAGCATTTTCCTCGTGTCACCTCACTGTACAGAGGGGTAACATTATTATTTTATTTTTATTATTTATTTTATTTTATTTTCAAGTGCCCCAAATGTGCATGGTACTTCCCTCGTAACAAGTATAAGGTGTGATCCTGCTCCAGTGAGCTTGCTATCGACATTGGAGGGGACACAGCAAGGGATGGGGCAGAAAGAGGCAACAACGGGAGGTAGGCAGGAGGCCAAGGTTGGCCATTATAAGAACAGGAAGTTTGGAAGGGAGATGCAACCCCAGTTGTATGGCTCATCCGAGCTGATTCTGTGTTTGGTTTGTTACTTCCGCCTTGTTTCCCCTGACAGATATCCTGACAGAGGTGGGTTCTTAGGAATGGCTTGGAGGAGGGGAAAGGAGGTGGGCTTAGTGAATGTGTTGTGTGGGGGGAAGGGAGAGTAGAGCTGCTCCAGTTGTGAGGGCCAGCAGGGAAGAAGCCCTGGGGATGGAGGTGCTTGTGAGAGGCAGGGAAGGAACGCCGAGGCTGGCTGCCCTGGAGGAGCAGGTTGGAAGTGAGGTGGGAGATGCAGGAGGAGACCATGTCCAAGAGGCAGGGCTTAAGAGCAAAGGCAAGAAGTTTGCATTTGGTGGTGGGTAGCCAGTGAAGTGACCCAGTGGGAGTTGTGCTCGGAGCAACAGGTGCGTGAGAGTTGGTTTTGGCAAAGCATTTTTGGGTGGGTGGCTAAGGTAGGTCAACTGAAGAAGAAGGGATGAGGTGATGGGGGCTGGGACAAGTGACTGGATCCTCAGGGCAGAAAGGCAAGTGTGGTGCATTTGAAATATTGTGAAGGATGGAGTGACAGGACTAGTAAGGGACTGGTTGATGGGCCAGGATCGTGAGAGAGATTCTGGCCTGGTCAGCTGTGACCCGGAATGGAGACAGTGAAGATGTTTAGATGGGGAGACTGTAAGCTTGTTTTTTGGTCATGCTGAATTTGAGTTGTGAGCTGCCTGACAGGAGCTGCTGGAGAGTCCCAGAGAGAGAGGTCCAGAGCACAAAAGAAAATCTGAAAGTCACCTGCACACAGGTGACAGCTAGGCCTAGGTGTACAGAGCCGTCACCTACCCAGCAATGGGATAGACAGGGAGAAGAGGAGAGGACCCAGGGGCTAGAGAAGTGGGAAAGGGTGAGGGAAGAGCCGCTAAAGCAGAAGGAGAGCCAAGAGAGATGAGTGTCACAGACCAGTGGCAGCTGAAAGGGCAAGGAGGGTGAGAATGGAGGGTGAGAGAACGCCAGGCAGACGTCACTGGAGAGATGTTGGAGAGAGGAGAAGTAAAGCTTAAGACTCGCCGGAGATCACAGTCAGAGCAGCCATAGGACCAGCGTCCTGCTGGGGTTTTAGCGTGCGTTACCCAGGGCAGGAAGCAGCCAAGGCCCCCGGAGACAGTGAATGATCCGGGCGCTGGGGACGTGGCATACCCTGGGCTGGGGCCTTCGAGTGGCTGTGTTAGCGTTTGCCAGGAATGTGGCTAGAATGCAGCAGTGCTAGCAAAGGCTTTTGGAATGGTCAGTGGAGTGGCAAAACTGTGCCTGGGAGAGTCCCAAGCTGAGGGTGGAG